TTACCCACTGAGTTATGCTAACAACATAAACATAAGACAACTAGGAATTAGAAGTACATGTTACCACAAGAAGAACCTGAATCACATCACAACTCTAGATTGTCCCACAACTTACAGAAAATAGAGGAGGCAGAAAGACAAAGTAAATGATACCATAGGAAGCAACCAGCACAGTCCAATCTATGGGAAATTCTAGAAGCAAAGGATCTGTGTCTTTAATAGAAACTAATTTTTACTGAGGGAACCTATAGATATAAGAAGCCTCCTGAGATATCAGTCAAAAATGCTCCATCCAGCAATAGTAGGATACACATTTTTCAAGTGCACATTCAATATTCTCCAGGATAGACCATATGTTAGGTCACAAATGTTTTGTTGTTGTTTTTAAAATTTACTTATTTATGCATACAGAACTGGGGTACAGGCCAGAGGTACAGAGGCAGTGAGAGGATTCACCAGAAACAGTGGGGAGCAGAACAAGCAGACTGACAAAGTACACTGCTGAGGGGCAGCAGCAGGCAAGACAGGAGAGGTCTGCCGAGCCATGTGGGTCACCTCTGGAGCCAGAGATGGAACTTGCACTGAAGCAGCTGCAGCTAACTTGCAGTGCTGAGACTTAACCTGCTATGCCACCAGGGAGAGCCACGAAAAAGTTTTTATAAATTTTGAAACATTGAAATCACAATGAGTAACTTTTGCAATCACAATGAAATTAAAACCAGACATCAATACAGAAGGAAATCTTATAAACAAACCCATAAATATGTGGGAATTAACACATAACAACACTTAATGGGTTACAGAATAAATTACAAAGGAAAATAAATATCTGTAGATAGACATAAATGAAAACACAACATACTAAAACTTATGAGATGCAGTGAAAGCAGTGCTACAAGCAAAATTTATTGTGATAAATGTTTACATTAAATAAGAAGATCTCAAATCAACAAGCTAAAAAACTTAAGGAATTAGAAAAGAACAAATAAACTTAAAGCTATCAGAGCTAAAATTTAAAATCTAATAATAAATGTTAGCAATAATAAGAGACTAAGAAAACAAAAGAGAATAACAAAACCAAAAGTTGCTTCTTTAAAAAGATAAACAAAATTGAAAAAGCTTTAGTTTATTTAACAAAGAGAAAAGAAGAGAACACAAAAACTAAAATCAGATAAGAAAAAGGGATATTACTATCAGTTTTACCAAATAAAAAGAATTATAAGAAAGTACTATTAAACATTATAAAACACAAATTAGATAAATTTTATAAAATGGAAAACTTCCTGGAAACACACAACCTACTCTAAGACTGAACAATGAAAAAATGAAAAACATGAATAGACTTGTAACCTTGTAACTACTGAGACTGAATCAGTAATGTGAAACTTCCACAATAAACAATCCACAAACAGATGGCTTCACTGGTGAATAACAAACATTTAAAGAAGTAACAAGGGCTTCCCTGGCGATGCAAGGTGTTAAAACCCAGCACTATAATGCTATCTGCAGTCACAGCAGCATGAGTTCAATCTCCAACCAGGGAGCTGACCCACAGGGTTCAGCAGATCTCTCCTATCTCACCTGCTGCTCCCCTCAGCAGTGTTTTTCAATCTGCCTTATATGTTCCCTGCTCGGTCTCTGCTGAATGCTCTTAACCCCCACACCTCTGGCCTGTACCTCAACTCTTGTGTGCATAAATAAATAAATCTTAATTTTAAAAAATGTAACAATTATTCTCAAATTTTCACAAAATTGAAGAGACAGAAATATTTCCACACTCATTCTATGAAGTCAGCATTTCCCTGATACTGAACCCAAACAAAGATACTATAAGAAAATTATAAATCAATGTCCTTTTTAAATACTAATGCAAATATCCTCCACAATATACTGGCAAATAGAATTCAACAGCTCATAAAAGGGATCATATACCACAATCAAGGGGCTTTATTCCTTTAATGCAAGGATAGTTCAATATATGACATAAATACACTATAAAAAATGAAAAATAATCCACACAAACATCTTATTTGATGCAGAAAGCATCTGACCAAAATTCAACATTCTCTCAGGAAAGAAAAGATATAACAGGAAACTACCTCAATACAATAAAGACTATATAGGAAAGATCCACAGCTAACATCATGAACAATTGTGAAAGACTGAAAGCCTTTCTTTATAGATCAGGAACAAAACAAAGATGACCAGTTTACTGTCTCCATTCAACATAGTACTTGAAGTTGTAGCCCCAGTAATTAGGCCAAAAAGGTGGGGAGGGGAGAAGATTGGAAAGGAATTATCAAAATATCTGTTTGTTGAAACTATAATTTTATGTAGCGAATGCTAGAGATTACATACCAAAGATATTAAAGCAAATGAATTCAGCTAAGTTGAAGGACATAAAATTCATTTTCAAAAATCAATTGCATTTCTATAGGTTATAATGAATATTGTGAAAGGAAATTGAAGAATAAAATACTTCAGGATAAACTTAAATAAGTAGGTGAATGCCTTAGACAAAAAAAGACTATGAAATGTTATTAAAATTATACACTAATAAATGCATTTCTGAATTGCAAGGCTTAATATTATTAAAATGTCAGTATTACCCAAAGTTATTTATAGGTCCAATGCAGATGTTATAAAAACCCCAACGATATTTTTGCAGAAACAGGAAAAAAATCCTACAATTCATATGTAATTTTCAGGGACTCCAACTATCCAAAACAATCTTTAAAAAGAATAAAGTTGGAGGCTTCATACTTCCAAATTTCATAACTTACTACAAAGTAGTGGTAAACAAAAACAGTGTGGTACTGCCATTAAAAACAGACATATTGGGCCCCTCCCTGGTGGCACAGCGGGTTAAAGCACAGCACTAAGACGCTAAAGCCACTTCAGCATGAGTTCAATCCCCACCCCCAAAGTGACCCCCATGGCGTGGCAGACCCCTCCTGACCCTCCCGCTGCTCCCCTTGGCAGTGTACTCCATCAGTCGGCCTGTTCTGCTCCCCACTCTGTCTCTGGTGATTCCTCTCACGGCCCCTACACCTCTGGTCTGTACCCCAGTTCTGTATGCATAAATAAAAACAAATCTTTAAAAAAAAATCATACATATTGACCAAATGAACAAAATAAGAGCCCTAAGATATACCCTCACAAGCAGGGGTAAATGATTTTTGACAAAATGCCAAAACCATTCAATGGGAAAAAGAATTGTCTTTTCCACAAATTGTGCATGGAAATTGTATACTACATTTGAAAGAGTAATGTTAAAAAAACCACTTGTCTTATACTAGATATAAAATTTAACTCAAAATGTATCAAAGATCTAAATATAAGACCTAATAATGTTAAATTCTTTTTTTTTTAAAGATTTATTTATTTGTGCATACAGAACAGGTCAGAGGTGCAGGGGATGGGAGGCTTCACCAGTGGCAGAGTGGGGAGCAGAACAGGCTGATCGATGATGTACACTGCTGAGGGGAGGAGCTGGCAAGACAGTAGAGGTCTGCTGTACCATGTGGGTCACCTCCCGGGCCAGGAATAGAACTCATGCTGAAGAGCTGCAGCTAGCTTGCAGTGCTGCATTTTAACCTGTTGGGCCACCAGGGAGGGCCCAATAATGTTAAATTCTTAGAAGAAAATATAGGGAGAAAGATTTATGATGTTGGATTTGGCAATGATTTTCCTGGCTATGATGCCAAAAGTACAGACAACATAATAAAAAAAATAGATAAACTGGTCTACCTCAAAATTGTAACTTATGCATATAAAAGTGAAAAGGCAACAAATAAAATAGAAGAAAATACTTGCTATCTGATAAGAGACTTATAGACAGAATATATAAAGAATGCCTATAATTCTACAACAAACTGTCCAAAAATCTTCAAAAACGGAAAAGGCCTTGAACAGACTTATATCCTACAAGATACAGATGGCCAGTGAACACTAAGAAGATACTCAACATCAGTGACTATCAGCGATGTGCAAATGGAAGCTTCAAGATGTAATTTCACACGCAGTGTGTAAAAGTAAAAGGTGGCCGATGACACACCACACATTTGTGGGGTAGCTGGTTTTAGACACCCTGATTCCGGCTGGGTTTTTTTTTTTTTTAAGATTTATTTATTTATTCATACAGAACTGGGGTACAGGCCAGAGATGTGGAGGGTGAGAGGATTCACCAGGGACAGAGTGGGGAGCAGTATAGGCAGATCGACAAAGTACACTGCTGAGGGGAGCAGTGGGCGGGTCAGGAGAGGTCTGCCACGCCATGTGGTCACCTCCGGGGCAGGCGGGAATCGAACTCATGCGGAAGCGGCTTTAGCTTCTCAGTGCTGTGCTTTAACCCGCTGCGCCACCAGGGAGGGCCCTGGCTGGGGTTTTTATGAGAGCAGCCCCAGACACAGGATTTGTAAAACTAAATCAAATATACAAGAAAAATACAAAACAAAGTAAAAATAATAAATTAAGGGCCACACAGCTGTAAGTCTAAAAACAAAAGTAAACGAGGAAGAGGTGCAGGGATTTGACAGTGTCTAATTTTGACATTCACAGAAGGGAACTGTGAAGGTGAACAGATGAGTAAGTTTACAGACTTTGAAACATGAAAAAACAGTCGAGTATATTTTGTTCACAAACTTCTCCAGCAATCTAACGAAAAGTCAAAAGAACTCATACCAAGCTTGCCAAATGCTCAGGTTTAGGATTAGAAAGGATTCACACTTTTGATTTTTTTTTTTATTCTTAAAAACAAATACTTCGAACTTCCTATGAGTCTTTTTCTAACTAGTCCAGATGAAACTTTTAAAATCTGTGTTATTTTTGTTATGAGAGAAGATCCAAAATGAAAGGGAAATCAGCAACAATGGCCAAAATTAAATTTCCTTTATTTAAAAAACTAAATCTTGACATCTGCAGTTGTGGCTTTTAATTATTATGTTACCCTGGGAATACCTAAAATAAAGAAATATATTTAAAGAATATTTTCATTTTACCTTTTAGCTACTAAAGGTCTTCCACACTGTCCTCTATGAAGCCTGGCCAATGAAGACATCGTAACTCCTAGAAAAATAAATAACTATTTAGGATTAAGTTAGAAAGCTTTTTCACAATACATTTACAAGCAACCATGCTTGCTCCCAACTAACACCCGATTCCCCACTATATCAATTTTCAAACACACCTAACACTGAAGACCAGTTAACCACAACCCAGAGGCGCCCTCATAATTCTCTTTCTCTACTGATGGAAAAGTTTAAGTCAATAAAACATCTAGGGGAGATCCAGGGAGCACCAATGGAATGTACCTTAGTCTGGAGAAAAAGGAAAGACGTGAGTAGAAATATATGGTCAGGCAAACAAACACGAATTTTATTTCAGTTCCATTTTTGTGCCCTCTCACTTCCTTCAGAACCAAGTGCTGTTTGATAAGAACAAGGCAAAGCCGAACAAACACACTCCAAAGCCAAAATTGGGGACAGTGGGGATTTTTTTTTTAAGACACTTGAATCCAACCTTTTTTTTTTTTTTGTGCCGTTTCCCATCTCAGTTGTAATTCCCCTGGGCTTCCCACCACCAATTCACCCATGTGCCATCATCATAGTCCAGGGCACTCCCCTCCCCCCACCATTTTTGATCCCATTCCCCAACAGTGGGGATTCTTTTACTTAATGAATTCATTTGTGCATTGTCTACCTCCTAGAAGATATTGAAGTATTTAAGGCTAAAGGTAAAAACAAGTATTAAAATAAGGGGAAAACGAAGCCTCAAGCTAAGGAAGCTTTCTATTTTTTTTATAAAATTCATATAACATAAAATTCACTTTTTTAAAGATAAACTTGATAGTCTAAGTTGTTTAGTATGTTCACACAGTCTTACAACCGTCCCCACTTGCCTAATTCTGAAATATTTACATCACCCTCTCCCCAAGTCCAAGGACAGGTAGTCTATCTATTTTTCCCTCCCCCCTCTTATTTTTTTAAGTTATTTTATTTATTTCTGATACAAGAACTGGGATGTAGGCCAAAGTGCAGGAGGTGAGAGGAGTCACCAGAGACAGAGTGGGGAGCAGAACAGGCAGCCTGAAATACACGGCTGAAGGAGCAGTAGCTGTGCCATGTGGGTCACCTCCAGGGCCAGGGATGGAACTTACGCTGCAGTGGCTGGTGACAGCTTGATAGCACTGACACTTTAACCCCTGCGCCACCAGGGAGGCCCTCTCCCCTCCTTCTAGTCCCTGGCAATCAATCTATTTTCTGTCTGTGTGCATTCTGGATGTTTTGTACTAATGAAGTAAATTATGTCCTCTTCCACTTAGTATGTTTCAAGGACTGTCCCTATTGTAGGACTTCTTAGTACTTCAATTTTATGGTTAAATAATATTCCATTGAATGGCTATACCACATATGGTTAGCCATTCATCAGCTGGTGGTCAGTGAAGTTGTTTCCACTTTTCGGGGATTGTGAATCATGCTACTACGAACATTTGTGTACAAGCAGTTGGTGGAACATATTTTCAGTTTTTATTGGTATCCATTTAGGAGAGGATCTGTTGAGTCATATGGTAACTGTATTTTAACTTTTACTTAGGGACTGCCAGATTGTTCTCCACATCTGCTGTACTATTTTACATTTCTAGCAGCAATTAATAAGGGTTCTAATTCCCCACATCCTTTCCAATCCTCAGTATTACTCATTTTATCAGCTATTACCATTATTATTCTTATTATCATTACATATTATTATTACTATTAAATAGTATCTCAATATGGTTTTTATTTGTATTTCTCTAATGACTAATGATGTTGGTGATCTTTTCAAATAAATGTTTATTTGCATCTTTTATTTATTGGACTATCTTTTTGTTGTTGAATTGCAAGAATTCTTTCTATATTCTGGATATTACATCTTTTGAGGTAGACTCTCTATTTTAAAAACTGTATATTAAATCCTTTGAGATAGTTCTTTATATATTCTGGATACGGAGTCTTTTGCAAATATTTTTTCCCCATTCTTGCTGGTGTTCTTTGAAGCACAGAAATATTTGATTTTGATAAAGTCCAATTTACCTACTTCTCCAGCTACTTGTATGTTAGATGTCGTATCTATAAACCACTGTCTCATCCAAGGTCATGAAAAGTTTAACTTAAATTTTGCTCTGAGATTTAAATGCAGAATTCAGGGAAAAGGCTTTTCTAAGGTCCTTGCTGATTGAGTACAGCACCCACTTTTTAATTGTTTCCTCATTCCATCTACCGGCAGTTCCAAAGAACCTTGGAGTCAGCCCCGCGGGTCTTGTGCCTGCTCTGACCATCATGGGAATACCCACCCTACTTCGTAGCCTCCGTTCATACCTCCCCGCCCCTCCTTCAATTTGGTGAAATTCCAGTTCCTCAGCGAAGCCTTCCTGACCTCCCTGACAAGTGAGGGCATTTCCTCCCCTCTGCCCTGTAGACTTAACATATTATAACTTCATATTTATCTCTGTGGCTATTTAATTAACATTGTCTCACCCATGGGGTGAATGCTACATTAAGAGAGAACAGAGAGACATGCCTATTTCTTTGCTCACAGTATTATTTTTCAGTGCCAAAATAGCAGATACTTCAGCAAACATTTGTTGGTTGAACAAATAAATAAGCACAAAGTATATAGTTCAAGGGAATAAAACAAAGACTTATATACAAGAATCTTTTGGAGAGAGAGGGAAGGAACACAAATGTGAGGGAGAGAAATCAGAGCATGCATGCTTCCTGGAAAGGATGACACGGGAATGGGAACTGAATCTTAAACGGCCATCTTAAAATTGGGTTCAAGACTATGGTGATGGCACACGGGTGATTGGTGATGGGAAACCCGCGGGGATTACAATTGAGATAAAAAAAGAAGTACAAAATGATGTAAAAATAAACTGTTATAAAAAAAAAAAGTTGGGTACAAGAACCTCAGGATGGGAAGACTTTCTCAAGGGCTCACCAGTATCAGCACTTTGAAGACAATGAATTTCAGACACTTTGCCATAAGTGCTCTTTCCCAAAGAGACTCAGCCCAACAGGCTACAAAAATCCTGTGACCCCCCCTTTCCCTCAAGTCCTGCCCAGTAGCACTAGCCCACTACACACACACACACACACACACACACACACACACACACACACACAAATAAAACAATAAACCACCCAGAATCTTACCCCAGGGCATATCCCTGTGTAAAGTCTTCATAACACTATAAAGAAAGTGGAGAAGGCAGGAACAGCAAAATATTTCAACAGATACCAAGGGGAACTGAGTCTTATTCCGTCCAGTTCCAAGTATGGCAGCATCATCCATCTTTGTCCATCATAGGATGGACACTAAGAAATTTGTTGAAAAATAAAATCATCACACGAGACATGCAAAACAACTAAAAATATGTTGCAGACCTAAATGAGAGTCAGAAGTATAAAACTCTTAGAAGAAAACCTAGGAGCAAATATTTACATTCTTGCATTAGTAAAAGATTTCTCAGATACATCACCAAACCTGTAAACACGGAAAAGTGGACAAGGGGGACGCAAAAGTAGACAAGTGGGACTTTACAAAAATTCTTAAATTTTTTTTTGTTTCAGAAGGCACCATTAAGAAAGTATCTGTGGGTTCTCCCTGTTGGCACAACTGGTTAAAGCATAGCACTATGAAGCTATCTACAGCTACTGCAGCATGAGTTCGATCCCAAGCCAAGGAGCTGACCCACATGGCATAGCAGACCTCTCCTGACCTGCCTGCTGCTCCCCTCAGCAGTGTTTTCTAGTGCATCCGCCTGTTCTTCCCCCAACTCGCTCTGGTGAATCCTTTCACCACCTTTGTACCTCTAACCTGTACCCCAGTTCTTGTATGCATAAATAAATAAATCTTTTTTGTTCAGAAAGAATTTGAAAGTCATGTGATAAAGAACTCATATTCAATACATATAAGCCTTCTTGTAATTTTCTAGTGAAAGATAAGTAACCCAGTTTTAAAATGGGCAAAGGATTTAAGTAGACATTTCTTCAAAGGTATAGGCACAAAGCACATGAAAAGTTGTTCAATATCATTAGTCAGAAGAAAACACAAATCAATACCACAATAATGTCATCGTATAGCCATAAAGATGGTTACTATCCAAAATACAGAAAATAAACAAAGGTTAGGAAAGGTGTAGACTTGGAAGTTGGAACTCTTGTGCACATTTGGTAAGCATGTAAAATGGTAGAGCTGCTATAGGAAATAGTGTGTCAGTTTCTCAATTAGCATATGATTCCACATATCCAAAAGAACTGAAAGCTGGGTTCTAAAGACACACTTATATTCCTTAGGAGCATTACTCATAACTCATGTCTATACACAAGTGAACAGATAAACAAAACGTGGTCTACACATATAACGGAATATTATTCAGCCCCAAAAAGGAGATTTTGACAGGCTGCAACATGGACAAAACTTGAAAACATTATGCTAAGTGAAATAAATTAGTCATAAGAGAACAAATGCTGCATGATTTCATTTATATGAGGTATCTAATGATATTCTACTGATAAGAGGTATAAAATTCATCAAAATAAAATACAATAGTTTTGCCAAGGGCTGAAAGGAGGACAGAATGGGGAACATGAGGACAGAATGTTGTTCAATGAAAGGAATTTCAGTGTTGCAAGATGAAAAGTCTTGGAGACTGACAGTGATAGGAATACACTAAACACTACTACTGAACTATACACTTTAAAAACAGTTAAGATAGCAACTTTTACAACATGTGTAAATTATCACAATTTTTTAAAAAGTCACAATAAGAGGGCCCTCCCTGGTGGCGCAGCGGGTTAAAGCACAGCACTGAGAATCTGAAGCCACTTCCGCATGAGTTCAATTCCCACCTGCCGCCTGCCCCGGAGGAGACCACATGGCGAGCCAGACCTCTCCTGACCCGCCCGCTGCTCCCCTCAGCAGTGTACTTCGTCAGTCTGCCTGTTCTGCTCCCCACTCTGTCTCTGGTGAAGCCTCTCACCATCCCTGAGCCTCTGGCCTGTACCCCAGTTCTGTATGAATAA